TAAGTGAGTAAACTCGTATAATTATCAGTGGTTTCCCGAGAAGTAGATAAGTAGTCAGCCAGTAAAGAGTTTGAAAAGACGTTATTTTTACCTTTGTGTTGTCGACAATTTGCCAAAAATCAGTCAAGGTCGAGCTATAAAAATCAAATAAACATGTGTGTTGTCATGTAAAAGTTATAAGTATGCAACTGATTAAACTGTTGCTGCCGACGAGGTTTAGCAACAAATCGGGAATCCTTTAGAGCGTCTGAGTGTCGTAAAACAAAAACCAAAGTTATCACCCTAACCAGTCACAAAGGAGACAGACAATACAGTGAACCAATCAAAACTCGAAGTAATAACATGTAGCTGACGCAAAGCGCGGGAAAACGAGTACGAGCGAGTCACGATTGGTTTTGGTTTTACTTCTGACTGGATGAAAACTTGGCGCGAGTTTTTGAAGCGAATCGTGTAGCGTGGTAAGTGAACTAAAGACTACTTACTTTTCGACGCTCGGATGGAAACCGCTCTAAGATTGCTTACCAGGCTGAAGGCAGAGGGAAATAACTGATATCCGCGAGATATTTTTTTGTTTTATCATTGGATCAGCTCGCTAGTTTTTGCCAAACGTTTGCTGTACAATGAATAGCGACCGCTGCCTTCGATTGTGCAGAATAACTGTTGGTTGTAGCAACTTGCTCATTCTCCTGCCCTGGTTAGAATCACGGAAGAATCGCGACTGGTCGCAACCAATATTTTGAGCATCGTAGGGTACTTGGTTTGTTTTCTCAGCCAATCATATTTAAGCGTCAGATTTGACTCTCAACCGGTCGTTTTAAGATTATCCCACCTTGCACTTCTAACGAATTATATAAAAGCATGATATTTTTGGTTTTAAGGTTGACCGGCCATGTGGAAGGTTCCGCACTTTGGCAGCTTTGTTGCCCTGGTTACCGTCTCTTACCTGCTGTTCTCCATGGGACCCGCGAAAACCAGCGCCTTCGGGGTCGCCTCCAGTTCAGAGTGCAGGAACAGTTATAACCTGAGTGACGAACTGGTGAATAAAACAGTCGACGAATATCATAATTTTACAGAGGGTCCCAGGTCTCGTA